TTATTACTTTTTTAAAAGACTTCTCACTATTGAATCTCCAGACTGATCATGGGCAGAAATTGATAACAACTAAAATGATTTGAAGTTCCATATCAATTGAGCAGGATGACAATCTTCTCACTGAAATTAGAATGAAAACAAACGAAACTGAATCGAAGAATTAATGACCACTAATGAATGAGAAAAAGAAAAAAGCCATCTTTACAAAGGTGGAAAATCAATCAATCCTAATGATATCTACAGTGTCATCATGCCTTTAGTAAAGATATTTCGTTTCTTGTGTAAATTCTATCACTTTCATAGTCACATCAAGATCACTATTTTGTTAGATGTGGCTCTACGATCATGTTCGGCAATTATTTTTGGAAGATCCACAGATTGATTTTTACCTCCTCATGTTTTTGGTAAACACCTTTAAATTGTTATAAGACATTTTGTTTTCAAATGTTTTTGGTAAACACCATTAACTTAATTCATCAGAAATACGCATAAACATTTTAAACACAAAACCGAGCAAGAAAGTGCAAAAAAGCACAATACAAAGGGACCAAATGGAATTTCATTAAACAAAGAGACCAGCAGAACAATACAAAGGACCACAGATTACAAAATAGCTAAATAAACTAGAAAATAAAGATATAAACCCTACAAGCAGCAAGGCAGGCAAGCTCCCCACTGATCTTCTCTTCTTCTTCTTCTTCTTCTTCTTCTTCGATCCAATCCTCTAGGACACTGCCAGACACAGCCATCAGAGAAGTGGTTTACCCCTAAACCCAAACTATTGGACGCAGGCACAGGGACAGGCGAGGAGCATCCCAAAAATGCCCCAGAAAGTGAGCAGAACCCCCCAAATGATTGCGAAGTGCGGATTTTGGTGGGTAATCATAACCGGAACCCCCCACACAAAAGTTAACCCTAGTAGAGAATAACTATAGACTGATGGGAAGCTGACATAAACGAGGACTGCTAAGCTGACGTGTACAAAAAATGCGAGGGTGAGAGGCGATAGCCTCATTTCTTCGGGCTGAGGCGGTGGTGCCATAGTAACTAGACTGGCTATGAAGAGGAAGATCTTCCTCTATATGAGAAATGAAAAGGAATGTGGGTGTGGGTGGGGGTTTGTTTTCTTTTATAGTAGAGTTTATCTAGCTAGGGTTTCTATTTTCTTAAATGTTGATGCCAGCTAGCTAGCTAGGGTTTAAGGGAAAGGCAGCTACCTTTGATTTGGCCCCAAAAATAGAAAAAAAAAACATAAAAAGAAAACAAGCTTTACAAGAGGAGATATTTCGGACCGCTAGCTGAAAAGACTGAAAAAACCTCAGTCAATTATAATGTTTGCTTTTATCAGGTGTAAACCATATATATAATTCGATCAACACGCATAAACTCAGAGACACAACTTACAAGTAATAAATTCATGAAAGAAATACTATAAAATTTATTTCCAACTTTATTTTTTTGGTTCATATGCATCTGATTATGTGACTGAAGAACCAAATTAAGGGTGGCCTGACTGCCTTGACTTGAGATAATTTATTTATAGGGTTTTAAAAGGAGGACTGAAATTTTCAGAAAAAAGGAAGAAGATTGCTCAGCTAGGATTTTGAATGTGTGTTGTATTTTCATTGTCTCAACGTCTCTCTTTACATATTGTGTATATTTTTCCTATACAAGAAGTCTCTAGAATAAGAATAAAGAATACAAAAATGGATAAGCATTAGGAATATACCTTTGTTTTTTCTTCGATACCTCTCTAGAACCTTTGTGTAAAAACCCTAGTATATGTTTATGTTGGAACTCATTGTTGTCCCATATCGGCCAGAGGGCCAAAGAGAAAGTAGTTTAAATAGAAATACCCCTCTCTAACTAACATCGAGGCCTTTTGTGATAAAACCCCACACCTGAGGATTGTGCAGGTGGTAAAGTGGAGACAGTATCGGTGTTGTTGAAGTGGGCCCTTGGCCCGTTGACCTGGAAAGTTCAACATGGTATCAGAGCCAGGTTGCGGGCCCGTACTGCCACATGATGGGTGGGTTCCCGTTTGGCAAGATAGTAGTATTATAGTCTTATATATATATATATATATATATATATATCTTTAGTATAGACATATATATGTTACTTCTTAATATGTATGTGTTTTATATATACACATACAATATAACTAAAAATATTTCACATACATTAATTCGGTTTGGTATGAATTTATGTCGGATTAGGGATAGTGTTGCCTGATTTTTTAACCAAATATTTCGATATGACGGATTTTTCGGATGAGATGCCCACCCACCCCTATATAGCCTATAGGTTTGGCACTTTACCTACATATTTACTAATTCTTTCCATATATTATATAAGTATGTAAACTGATTTACCTCTATTTAATAGTGACATCATTTTCCCTAAGGTTTTATATTTAACAACATAGATAGAGAGCCATTATTTTCTACAATGAGCATATGAAATACTCAAGCCAGCCGCCTGAAACGTGTCTCCTCTTGTATTCTATCACTTTCATAGTCTGCTGGGTTTTTTTTCCTTCTTTTTTTTCTTTCCTGTGAAGTGAATAGACACATCATGATCACTATTTTGTTAGATTGATTTTACCTCCTCATCATGTTTTTGGTAAACACCTTTAAATTCTTATGGTGGTAGTGATCACTCGTTTTCTTCTTTACAGAGTCCAACTATGGAGGTTCCCAACTTGTGTTTTGTCCATTTAATTCATGAGAAATTTGCATAAACATTTTGAACAAAAAAAGGAGCAAGAAAATAAATAGCAGTGCAAAAAAGCACAATACAAAGGTACGTACCAAATGGAATTTCATTAAACAAAGACCAGCAGAACCAGTACAAAGGACCAACATGTATTGAAAAAATAGCTAAATAACTAGACAATAAAAGACATAAACCCTACAAGCAGCAACCCAGGCAAGCTAGCAACAGCACCAAGTCCGCACCAAACTAATGGACGAAAGAAAGAAAGAAAGAAAAGACATAGCTAGCACAGAGAACTTCTTTACCCCCAAACTAATGGACGCAAGGGCAGGGACAGGGAGAGGTGAGGAGCACCCCTATAGTGCACAATAGAAAGACCAGACCCCCCCAAATTATTACAAAGTATGGATTTTGATTGGTAATAATTACCGAAACCCCCAATATAATAGCTAACCCTAGTAGGGAATAAGTATAGACTGATGGGAAGGTGTAAAAAAGGACGAGGACTAGCACCGAAAATGCGATGGTGAAACGCAATAGCCTCACTTGTACTCCGTCATTAGGCGGCGGTGGTGCTACTTGGTTATCGTCATCGTTGGCCATAGTGTGTAAAGTAGACTGGCTAGGAAGAGGAAGGGATAAATGAGAAATGAACAGGAAATGCGGCTTCTTTTATAGTAGAGTTCACCTAGCTAGGGTTTCTATTTTCTTAAATGTTGATGCCAGCTAGCTAGCTAGGGTTTAAGAGAAAGGCAGCTACCTTGTATTTGACCAAATACAAAATACAAAATAAAGGAAACATTTGTTATATTTTATTTTATTTTGTTTTAAAAATAGTTTAAGAGAAAGCAAGCTTTGACCGAAATTCTGAAAATACCCCATTCAATTATATCAGGTGTAAAACGTAATTCGATCAACACACAAACTTAGAGGCACAAACTTGTAAGAAATAAATTCATGAAAGAAATAGTATAGAATTTACTTCCAACTTTATATTTTTTATTCATATACATATATGGATCAGATCAAAGGACACATTTTTGAGACGTGATATATTGCATCCCACACTGACCATTTTTCTTTTTTTCTTTTACCCTGTAGTAAAGTGGACGCATGCTCGGCTCTGCTGCAGGTGGCAGGGAGGCAGGCAGGCAGGCAGGGTCACAGGATCGCAGGCTACGTGGCAGTGTGCAGAATATATGGACGATCTGCAGACTGCAGGGTGGCAGGATTGACTGTGGTACGTGGCTTGCATGTCAATTGAAATTTGCATTCATTTTATAAGGCTGGCTCTCTCCTTGATACGTTGGGAGGTGGTTGGTTGTTGGAGTATTGGAACTTGGAATTTCAAAAATCTATTAGGTTGATATATTTTGTAAAAGACTAACTATTATAAATGTGCGTAAACTGATTTACCTCTATTTAATATATATTTACATTATTTTACCTAAGCTTTATACAGTGATGATAATCATAGGAAATACACAAGGGAGCCGCCTGAAATGTATTCCTTTACACACAAAAAACCAAGCAAGAAAGTGCAAAAAAAGCACTACTAGAAGAAAGGGACCAAATGGAATTTCATTCATTAATAAAAGAGACCAGCAGAAGAGTACAAAGGACCAATAGATTGCAAAATAGTAACACTAAAGTTAAGAAGACCCCCGAGAGAAACACTAACAATAGTGCGGAATAAGTATAGATTGATGGAAAGGTTGCAGAACAGAGGGTTACTAAAGTTAAGAAGACCATAAATGCGAGGGATGCCCTCACTTTTTTTATTTTTTTGTTGTCGAAAAAGAAGAATAGTAAAACAGTATAAGGAATTCAAAATATATGGATAAGACTTTGGGTCTCTTGAGCTCTATGACCTAGCTAGGTTTAATGATGTTTTCACAAAACCATGAAATCAGAAGCTAAAAGCTTTTTGTTGCCTTCTTGGGTTGTGTAGTAAAAAGTTGATATTATGGTTCCACAATTCCTCCTAGGTATTTTCTTTTTTAATTATTTGACCTCTAAAGCGGACGCATGAACCGCAATTGGCAGGCACCAGGAAAACGACATCTGCTCGGCTGCAGGCGAGCAGGGTGCTCTCCAGACTGTAGGTGACATTTTGTGTGCAGAATTGATCATATGTTGATATTTTTCATTTATTACTTTTTAAAAGACTTCTCACTATTGAATCACCAGACTGATCATGGGCAGAAATTGATAACAACTAAAAATGATTTGAAGTTCCATATCAATTGAGCAGGATGACAATCTTCTCACTGAAATTAGAATGAAAACAAACGAAACTGAATCGAAGAATTAATGAGCACTAATGAATGAGAAAAAGAAAAAAGCCATCTTTACAAAGGTGGAAAATCAATCCTAATGATATCTACAGAGTCATCATGCCTTGTTCCCAATGTCAAATTTTGATTGAATAAAAGAATGACTTCTACTTGTATCTCTAGCTGCCCTGATTTCCAATGTTATGTTTTATATATGTTCGATTCAACAACATGGCCACCTTCCATGTCAAGCTATATCTTGTCGTTGAACTTGAGAATGAATTGGGATACAATAATAATCATGATGGTTTCGCTAAAACCGACTTAGAGGCATCAAGATGATTAAGGCGGCAGGTTCCGAGAAGATACTCCGGCAGTTCTTCTGGCGTATTTGCCTGGGCAAGAAACATTGAGAGTCAAGCATGTAAATGGAACCAGTCAGTCATCAAAGAAAGTTGATTATTCTAAAGCAAGATGATTTTTTTCGTTTGTTACTTCACTTTTTAGCAAACTCATCACTTTGCATATGAGCTTTTTGCCCGCACAGGATATTAATGTGCAAAGGGATATCTTTAGAAATGAAACAAACTGGAGTATTAATTGTTACAATGTGATGAACTAGATGCTTACCTGTATCAAAAATGCCATCTCAATGACCAGATTGTTTAGGTACCCAAGGACAAGACTAACCACGCCCCTTGCAACAGTGGACGACCCAATGTCAACACCAAGCTGAATGATAGCCAAATATTTCAGAATTAGTTATACAATGAAAAATCTACACAAAAACGGGAGATGTAAACATATGAACCCCATCCCCCACACGCACCCCAAGTAAAAGAAAGGGCCCCTCTTGCATCATTCTATATCCAAGGGGATTAATATGTGGGGTCATTTCAAGAATCCAAGTAACAATTTTTAATGTACATCCATAACAATATCTTCAAATTTACATACCTCCAAGTAGTTCTTCCCATGGAAATAATTAATTTCAAGTGCTTGACCAATGAGGCATGCTTTCTTTCCCACACTCTGCTTAACAATCCATGAACCCTGGGGACAGAAGAATCATCTCATGAACACATAATATCAAAATCAGGATTCTTTTATGAAGAATGAAAGTACACTGTTTTTTAAGTAAAGATAAAACTTAGATGAATGGCGGTGCATTTGTTTCACAGATCAAAAGATTTTATCTCAGATTCAAGATCATTGCAGGCCCTACGACCAAATGATTGAACACATAACTTAAAAGATATAAACAATTTACGTAGACAGGAATAAATGGGATGATTAATGTTAATATCCTGGTTTCAGGATGACAATAAACAAGCAACAAATCAAACTTAGAAAGAAAAAAATAATAATTGGAAAAAGATAGGATGCATATTCCTATTCAGCAGAAATATAGTTAAACAGAAACAGAAAGGGGGGAGAGGGGGTGGGGTGGTGGAGAGAGAGGGAGGTTAAATGTTGTGTGGAGGAGATAAAGAATGAGTGTTCCATTCCAACTGGATTGCAACTGTCCTTACATGTACTAACCTTAGATATGTATGGTATGAGCTTAAACCTTGAATTTCTATATGCATCATCCCCCTTGATAAAACTCTCTAACAACGGTGCATCTTCAACTGGAGAATTCATCATATAGTATAGCGCTAGGCTATATGTGGTTGAACCTGGGACCTGATTCACATAGATAATGTGGTAATTATTGACAAGCAATAACATGCAAAAACTATTAGAAAAGTCACGGAAGACTGGATTCACCTGAATGTTCACAATGAAGAAGAATTCTTGCCCACCCTGCGCTGCATATTTCTGCAGAACAAAAGCTTGTAAAATTTTGGAAATTACAGCCATCTTTGTGCCAATTCAATGATATCAATAAACCTCATAAGTGATAGGTGGCCAGGAAAAATTTTAGTGACAAGGAAATCAAATTTTCAGTTAATTAATGACCTGAACAATGCTTCCTGGACGGCCTCCAAGATCATCTTCACGCTTGTCAGATCTTAGCCAATCCGCGGCCACCATTTGCATCAACGTGCCCTTTGCCTTAACCTGAAAATTGGGGAGGAAACAAAAGCAACAAAAAGAGAAAGTAAGGACAGGAACACAACTCCAACTCCAACTGTTCTTGAAGTATCAATAACATTCAAGAAGAATAAGAAAAAGAACATGTAAAGAGATCAGGATTAGAAATTCCTAGCAACTATTATAGGAAATTATTTTTAATGAAACTTTATCTTTATTTGGGAAGGTGGTGGCAAAACACTAGTTTCACATTTACAATGAGCTAGAAAAGATACTGATATTGGAAAAAATTATGACAATGGACGCATCAAAACCAGTTATCACAAAACAACACAATCAGGATTCCAAGAACACGACATCCGAAATGAGCGATTAAAACTTCAAAGGATACACAATCATATGCTTGACTGCAAACTATTTTATAATCTCAATCTTTGGGTACAATGAGCACAATTGGAACATGTAACAAACTTTTTTTCTAAAAGCACTCATGCTAGACAACAACATCACTAAGACATTTCTGTTCAAACCTTCTTATTGTCTTCCAGATAATTTTTTCCCCGAATTAGAAAAGTAGAAGGATCTGATGCAGTCCAACTGCAAGCCAAATTACAAGTTGAATCTTTTGGAAGAGTGGAACCGTAGTAGCATGACATATTGTCTTCCCTCGCCATCTCTTGGAGGTCCACATAGCCCCTCTTCTGAACTGCAGCACATAATCACTAGCCATCATTAAATCATAACTACATCAAGAATACCAGTTAGAAACCCATAAATATTATTAAACATCCATACTAACCTGCAAGATCATGCAATCTTTTCACAAAACTGGCAGCCGTTGATAACTTTGGATGATGCATGTCCTGCAACTCAAACGATGTAATCAGAGCCAAGTTAGAAACTGTTAGATTATAAGATAATTGTTGGTCCACATCCTAACCGCTTAAGAAAACTAACAAACTTTATCATGGTACCAAAGCAGAAGATCCTGAGTTCAAATTCCTGCAATTGCAGCCTCCCAAAATAAGTTGAATTCCACATGTGAGGAGTAGTGGCAGAATATTAAATAATCATGTGTCCACATCCTAAAGACTTTAAATTTTGGGAATAGAAGTAAACCAAAAAACTTTTTAAAATATAAATAAATAAATAAAAGGCTACAATGTAAACTTTTAGTAGTTAAACAAAAAAAGACATGAGCAATAAATTACAAAAGTGAAGTAGTTAAGCAGGTCAAAATTTCTGCTATAAGTGCAATGCGAATGCATAGTGGGCTGAAGTATGTGAAACTGTGTAAAGAGGGAACCCAATAAAAGTTTAGCCAAGCTAAAACATTGAAAGAAAGAATACACAAAGAACTGCATCCACTCACATGAGATTTACACAAACACATACATGCATGTGAGAGGGAGAGAAAGAGGGAGAAAAAAGGGGGAGCCGGGGGTTGTGTGGAAACCACAAGAACCACCCAGAAACTAGAAAAATTCTACGAGTCTACTGTAAATTATGTTATGCAACCACCTAACGGAGCATAAAAGTGAAATAATTGTCAATCTTTATCACAAATTTAAACTCACAACATTACCTGGGAGTACATTTCAGAGCCAAAATCAGGAGTCCAGTCCGTTTCTGATTGATCGCTGTATGGTGGTTCTGGAACATCAAAGAATTCATCGGAAGCATCATTCAGACTTATAAGGCTAGCATGTTCAGAAGGTGATTTTTCCACTTCTTCAGCTATATTTTCCTTAGTCCTCTCATTCCCAGTTGGTGTTGGAACATCAGCCTCACCATCCCCTTCATTCTGATGCAACCTAAAATTTCTCCTTAGTTCTCCTGATGAAAATTCTGAGGAAGAATAATTTCCTAGTTTTGCTCTGAACAATTCTCGTAGTGCTACAATTACACAAATGAAAAGTAAAAATAAATTCTTTTGATTGACCGAGTACGAGTGGATATCAAAATCATGTGAAAAAAAATATACATAGAAAGCTCTATCAATCAACAGTATAAGACTACCAGCAACTCTCCCTAGCATTTTGATGGTCATAGATCGAGCTGAAGAAGTTTGCAGATAAGATTTCCAGAATTTCCAATCAATCGCAAGCATGTGCTTCACAACTGATTGTTTCCCTTGGTTCACAGGTGATATAACATATCCTCCACCTGCAAGAGAGTGATAAATGTCTCAAAATCTTCTATTATTAACTTTCAACTTATGCACCTCCCGCATTAGAGATCCAATAAGCTATTACCACTAGAATTAACGATTAAATGTTAAACAGGCAGTTGCATGCAGTTACTCTAACAGGCAGTGCAAGGAAAATATAGTTTTGCCAACTTTGGAGGCATCACAACCATGAAAATTGTATGCCATACCACCAATGTTCTAATACTACCATGCTGATGCTGCATCAAGTTCAACAGACGCACACACACTCTTGTGGGCACACACACATGCAATTACATAGAACAAATGAATACACCGATGCACTTTACTCATATTATCAAAGGTTCAAGCTACAGACAACTATCCTATATTAAACACTTCTTGTAAAGCCTAGGAGATTTATAAAATTTTCAATTTCTAAGCATACATTACTTTTAAGGCAGGCACGGACGTAGCCTTTCTGAGGTGGACACTTCTTATGAAACACAGAATGGTACAAAATAACTGTGACAGAAGAAACCAAAGGAAGTCAGTTTGTGCATAAATACATTTTCTATTAAATGCAAATATAAAAAACAAAAAATTTCCTCCATTTTAATACTACCATATGTCCCGTCATCTTCTCTTCTCCAATAACGCCGCAACAAGAGATCTCTCCGCTTCATTCCCCTGCAAAATATGATATGTTGATTGTATAAGACAACCATACAAAAGATATTTAGACAACTGCCACAGAACATAATTCGAAATCATTATAGGCCAGGGCCTGACCATGGTAACCAATCGCTATATAACTGCTTGTGAATGATATCAGTATGACCATCAAGGTGTTCGACCACATTGCCCTTATAGAAACAAAAGTCCCATCTACAACAGAATTTGTCAAAGTTAATTTTAGTTACAAACAAGCTTCATACATGACAATTTAGATAATTGTGGATGCAAGTGTAATGCAGATATGCATCAAGAGGAGCAAATACAAAACAAAAGGCAGAATGCAGGTAATATAGAAGGCTAAGGAGTTATGATGTAAGCCTAGACACTTTCTGCACAACAGGATGGTATCTTAGGGTTTCTACTATTACCATACTTATGGTTGAATTTAATTAAAAACTTTGAACTTCCATATTAGGTTTGTATTGGGGTTTCCATATTTGGATTTGTATGGCCTCAATAAATAGACCTCATTGTCATTGTGCTGGACAGTTTTTGAGCATTGACAATTTCAAACGATTATTGTTTCAGTTTGATCTCTATCTTCCTAGGATTTCTTCTCTTTAGCTTAACTTTTTCATCCTTCTACTCCCACAGTCTACATAAAGTTCTCAGCAAACTTACTCTGATCTCGAGGGACCAAGGGACATAAGTGTCTGGAAAATGGCTTCGGAAGTTCCATCAACCACACCCACAGCCATGATCGCAGGATGATCGTCCCACTGCTCATGATAGGAACATAGTCAATAATACGAATGCCTTTCTTACAACCAATTAGATGGTCAAAATTAAACCTACCAACCTTCCCATGAGAATCCCTGTCTTTGGCTTCTTTAAATAGTCGTAGACCTGCATAATAGCAATAAAGTTCAACATGCGGTTTCATAACCTCCTCAAAATGCACAAAGTAGGAATAACTCTCACCATTCTGACAACCAAAGATTGTCCAAGGTGAAGGAGCAATTACATCAGATGTCACAGCATCTGTTTGTGTAGAAGAACAAAGACTCCAGTCTACAGAATTGATTCGACTTCTCCTACTAGATCCACCTAATCTGCGTGCATGAATACTTTAAAGTACCCATACAATAATAGGAAACAAGAATAAAGAATCATATCAGAGCCACAAACATAAACCATAACCCACAACCAGTTTATTACCCAAGCTGCCAAGCATTGTTAAACAAAGTTACTTCCAAATTAAAAAATTCACACCAATATACCTAAAGGACTGCCATATGTTATTGGAACAATCCACAAAATTATCCCCAAGATCTGGACCACCCTGCACATATGCATAGGCATTAAATTCATATTTAGCATAACCGTCTGGAATAGATTCAGAAAACTGAGCATTTTAGACCTTTAAAGCCAATTCCTGAAAGGAATGAATCCATCTTGCTGCTTCTTCTGGACTGCTTGCTCCCAACTATGAAAATAAAGTTACATTATTTTGACATTAACTTGTAACAGAAACAAATTTTTGAGGAAATAGTTACCACACCTTAAGTTGATCATTGTGATTTGATGTATTATACAGTGTGAATATGAAGAATACCTACAAGTTGCACAAACAACAGTTACTAAATACATATCACAGCCACTAAAATCAGAAAACATGAACAAATGGGCACATTGCTGAAGTAGGACACTCTATAACAACTCAATACTTTTCTTTGAATGCTCTCACGTCCATTGTCTGTAACTCGAATGCAAGAGTCTATGATAGCGCTTCTTACAGGATCCTGATACACAGAAAAGAGGAAAACATTAAGGTTCTTATTTGTACTTATACCTACCTAATAGTGTTGTAATCTGTAAAATAAAGTGACAGAAACAAAGTTGCCACTCAGAATGTCTGTAAGCCAAATTATTACTCAAGCTTCCTCATTCAGCTTGTGTTAAAATAAAAATAATCAAAGACACTAGTTATTCATGTTTCTTGAATTAATTACGGACACAACTTGTGCTAAAGAACAAAAGATGATGGATAATAAATGAAAAACTCAAAAAAAAGAAAAATCAAATGAAAAGGACAGTATAAAACCATAATACATAATTCTTTGCACAAATTTCTAAAAGTAGGATTCAAACGGCCAACTTCAAACAAAGACATCTCCAACTTCTGCAAGCCATGACAAAAGCATTTCCAAGGAAAGAAAAGGGAAAAAGCAACTGAGCCAGCCACAAAAGGGACACATTTACCTTAGACAAGGTCCTGCAAGATTCTATAGATTTTTCTTCTCACTTTATTATTTTCAATCCAATCTTTTACAGGAAAATATTTTCCTCGTAATTAATAACAAACTCATGTAGGTTTTTTTTCTAAATATATCCATAGTTGCAAATGACATGTAAATTTTTTTGCAGGGGGACCAAGGGGAAACTAGCAATCCTACTAGTTACTGCATCAAACAAGCTGCAATTAACCCACAAGGTAACATTTGGAAAACTGAAATGTAGATTCAATATATGCCATCCTCAAAAGTTTCTTCGTTAAAGTAGTTAATGGAATAAGAAACTCAAATAATCACTATCATCCTCACAGTTTGAAGCCCTCCCAAGATGTAAATACATTTTAACACTCTTCAACTATCTCGGATGCTCATATAATCAACTGCGCATGCATCTTGCTCATTCTAAAGCAGTTTTCAGTATGTGTACACACTATAGGCACACACACACGCACACGCACATACAAAACAACAATTTGAATTGAAGTTTTCCCACAATCAATACAAAGATAATGATCCCATGGAAATTAAGGAAAAATACAGATCATTCTTCAACAAAAGTGAGAAAGATACATTATATTTTGATGGATCCCAGAAACTCAATAAGCAAACCTCTGATACCATTATACTAATATAATTACCATCTAAGAGATCAAATAAATGCTCAAACCCCAAAACTCACCCAATTACTTCAAAAAGGGGGAAAGAAAAACAGACTTCCAAATAAATTTCATCAGCGGTTTACTGTTTTTAGTTATTTATTTTATGGAAAGCAGCATTAGCTCATTGAAATGAACAAAAATGGAAAGTCAGTAGGGCATGAACCTCATTGTTAGAAACAGGAACTGATTTGAAGCTTTTGAGAAGGTGACCTTCAAGAACAAAGTAGCGTTTGCGCGAGTACTGTAGCCCAATCCGATTAGAACGAACAAGATAAAGCCAACCCTCCATTCTTTGATCAGTTTGCGACATACCCATTTCGCAAAACCTCTATTATCAACAAACCCACCTCTGTAATTCGCTCACTTCTCAGTACCTCAACATCCATGCATAGCTGGGCCCCGATTATATGTGTGGCTCGTACCCCTTGGTTCCTTTTAATGGCAGAGTGGAAATAAATATTGAAATGCGGATGAGATAACGGAATGGCGATCCTCTGAACTCAACCCACCCAGCTATTGAATACAGAGAATCATGGCGTTCATCTTTGGAATTGTAGGTGGGATTCCCTCCCTCTCTCTCTGTTTCTCTTTGTTAAAGCAACTGAATGAGTGCATATAAGAGACAAAGATTGCCAGGCAAATAATACTATGTCGGAATTACTGTTTTACCCCTGGGTTGAATGGACTGAAAACCCAAAACTGACTCTGATACTTTTCTTGTGTATTTTTCCGCTCAAAAAGTGGAAATTTGTTTTTTTAAAATATTTCTCCTCTTGCATTTTGGTTTAACGAATTCCAAGCTATTTGCATAAAAAGAAATTATATGTTTGAAATAATACAATCCTCCAAACTACCGTGTATAAAATAGAAAGATATATAATGTTGAAACATCAAACATAATCAGCTATGGGGACAACAAGTTTTTATTACTAGAAAGAGTACATCGGAGTAAAGCCTTTCTCCAACAACTATCCTTAACTAGAGTATCTCGAATTAAATTAGGAGACTTTGCTCGCAATATGCATGAAAAATCTGATGTTCCTGCCAGTGTTTCAACTACTCTTTAGCATCTCATGAAAAATAGAATCTATTTGCTCGTAATAAAAGGGTTTTTTCACACCGCCTTCGAAGTTTTCATTAAATTTCATCATTGATCTACCATATACACGCATTTTTGGACTGTCTCCCTTAATTCTCCTATTTGATAACAAACTTAGATTTTTTAAAAGGCATTTCTTAAAATTTATGTACTCTTTTTATATTTCACATTGGGAATTTTTTTTTTTAGGGGAATGCTACTTACATTCTTCTTTGTACCTTCCTCTTTTACCTTCTACTATTATGCTTTCATCTTGCAATGTGATTTGATGATCAGGATAGTCTGCATTTTAGACCACCATTAAAAGATCATCTCACTCAAAAAAATCAATCAAATAGGAAATTATTTAGTCATCTAAATGTTATAAGATAAATAGACGAACCTAATGTTTTGATAAAACACTGAATTATCACATTTTTAATCAAATCACTAAACGATTTTCAACTTGGTTGATTATTTTAAGGAACAATTCGTAAATGATGTTTCAAAAATGAATGGTTTCAATTATTATACATCATTGTAGTATGGGAAGAAGGAAGAAAGCAAAACAGAAAGTTACAAAGGGAATGTATATATAGTATTATTGACTTTTGAAAAGCAAGAAAGGATTCATGTGAGAGAAATTAAATCATAAAATTAACACTAGTCTTTATTTAATTTTGATGATAAAAGATTACATAAGTTACTAATGATTTGTATAAAAGTCAATGTCAGCAAAATATTTTGCACATATTGTCACGTAAGAGAAAGGTGCGAGAGAATATTCTTCGATTAACCAAAAAAAAAAAAAGCTGCACAAAGGATAAAAAAGAAGAAGAAAAAAGTTAAGCATATATTTTAACCTATGAAACGAATCTCTTGAATTTGACCGTAATTATGTTGTGGATCAAATTTAAATAAGTGTCTTTTCTTTACCTCATTCAAAAACCAAGTTACTTACCCAAGGGGTTTGGTCTAGCGGAAATCCTAACTAGTCCTGCAAATTGAGCGAATGTTAGCTGGATACTCTGTGAGGTCCAGTGTTCGAAACTCAAGCTTGTGAAAAACACCTCTTGGGGAGAGCTACATCAATTTGTTTATTCTAAATAAATCAATATGTTTTTATTAAATTCAGTTATTGCACCAATTAATAAATCTGTTTAAGCTATAAAAAAAATAAAAAATAAAAAAACTTTTGCAACATTTGTTAAAATAAATAAATAAATAAATTATGGATATGTCATTTGCTAAAGATTTTAGCCAAGATATTTGTGAAATCAGTTGCTTATAAAATCTGCCTTTATCCGTTACCTTAAGAAAACAACAATATGTATGACTTTGTTTTTAATCTGAACCCATTTTTCTTTGTTAGGTAAGATTTCTGGATAAGGAATGTGTATTAAAACAGAACAACAAAACACAAACCCACATATAATTTTCCAATTATCTCGAAATTTGTGTTAATCTTTCAAAGCCACATATAATTAAATGAATAATATTATATGTATATGTAAAGGTTGAAATATATCAATTTCAGAACTTGTTCAAATAATTATTCAGAATTTTTTTTGGTCTGAAATATAATTATTCAGAATATGAATAGCTAATCAAATTAAACCCAACGGCTGCTAGTAATTTCCGTGAAAAGTATATCTATGTTGATGTCAATGTGACTGCTCCGAATTTGAAGGATACTGCTTTAATGATAAATTTGCAAGTCATGTGTGAAGATGCATATATAGATAGATTAACAGATGTATTTTTAGCTCTTTATAAATAAGCATATTTGAACAAAACTCGTAACTTTTCTAACATCGAGACATTGAGAATAGAAATAGGGCTTCTTAGATCTAGGTCCAAAACGATTAGCTATCATTGGGTTTAGTCCTCGCGGTTTTAGTTTTAGATGTAGGTCCTTTGACATTTATTACTTTTTTTGTTGTGTCAATTTTACCCTTTGAGGTAAATAAGGAAAACACATTGAAAATCTAAATTTAATACATTATTTCCTTGTAATTGAATTCCATAATTTAAATTTTGAATTCTTTCCTTGATAATATTCCAAATATGTGGAGAAAATACAATTTAATCAATACAAAGTAAAGACCCACAAATTATACCAATCGATCAGACAAGCAACCACATTAAATTATATACCTGACATACAGGTAAATAGTGTTATTATTAGTAACGAAAAATACTTAGTGATAAATCATGTTACCTATAAGTTAGGAACATAAATTAGAAGACTACCTATAAGTCAGATAAAAAAATAGACAAAATAAAATTGTATGTTACCTAAAAAAGAGGTAGATAAAATACTATTACACATTGTCGAAAATAGGAAAAAACATATATATACCTATGCAATAGGCAATAGATAATATGACATATTATACCTATGCAATGGACAATAGGACAATATATCTACATCGTAGGCTGAACAAACCACAAAACATCTTACCTATATGTAAGGTGGAAAAATAAACGAGGAGAATATTAAATTACCTATAACTTAGGTGCATAAAAACATAAGTCGGACAATATATGCTACCTATATCTCCGGTACATAAAAAAGATAAGTGGTAAATTGTATGTTACCTATAACTTAGATTCATAAACAAAAAGGCAAAAAAGTGTGGTACCTATATCTCATGTATGTCAAAACACAAGTCAATTAATAATTTTTTTTTTTGTTAAAGGAATATGTTACCTATAATTTATATATATATGAAGAAAAATATATCAAAAAATGTATTACCTATGTCTCCGGTATACTATACATAAAAGAACAACTATAAAGAACAAAACTGAACATGATTAAAAGTTGAGCATATATTCAACATAAAATAATAATAATAATAAAAGAAGAAGCAGAAAAGATAAATAAGAATAAGAAGAAGAAAAAGTCGATACTATGACTGCATAGCAAATGGATATTAGACCATGCTTCAGCGGGTCATTTGTGCCTTCGGATGAACCCCAATCGCGCAAAGTTGTTATCGTTCGTCGCGCAAAGTATCTTTGCGAGACAAAAAAAAAATTTCGTCGCGCAAAACCTTTCTTTACGATGTTTGCGCGACAGAACTTGCGCGACCAAAATTTCGTCGCACAAAGTTTGCGCGACGAAGTTGTACTTTGCGCAACAAAATTATTTCGTCGCGCAAAGTGTTTTTTGTAGTAGTGATATATGTCAATGTCCAACATTTATAAAAGAAAAAAAAAAGTCTTCCTAATTAGGTGCTTTACTTACCATAAATTTAGTAATTTATTATAAAACCACCATAAAATTTGCTGCAATCAATAACTTCATTATTCCTTACGTTTTATGTGCTCAAGGGTAAATTGGATAAGGAAAGAAATATAATATTGGCTAATTATCTCATTAAGGTAAGTAATCTAAGATAATGGGCAATATTGGAACAAAAAATGATTTTAAGTATATAAAATAAAAAGATTACATCAGACAATATTAAAAAAGGAATGTAATCCTATGTGGCACAAAAGTCAAAGGACTTGCATCAAAGTCACCAAATCCGAGGATTAAACCCAACTTCTAGATGAGAATTTGGATCTATATCAACTTTTCTAATAGAAATATCATTAAATCAAAAGTTAGTTGATTTTAACCATTTCTTGTTTTATTGCAAAGACAACACAAAAGTATGAGAACTATTCTTTACTTTCTGTTCGATCATTTACATTAGAAGGCACGCTATATGTTCATTCAATTTGTTTTTGGTTGGCCAATAATTTTTTCGTTTTTAGAGGGTGGCTTTATATGATTTAAGCATGCAGCCAAGCCAGTCCACATCGGAAAACACCAAAATAAATTTCTCCAAATTCTAATTCTATGAAAACGACAAACACCTCTCTCTCTCTCTCATGTTCTCCTTTTACCATAGAGATAACGAGGAGGAGAGACATAGGCAATCTAGTCTTTTTCAGAAAAATAATTACAGAGCCGCTTTTCTTTTCTACATCATCTTCCGCATTTGAAAAGCTATGAAATTGTTGCTTCGCATGCATGTACAATCAAACTCATCGTCCACGATGCACTTCTTTTGGTCGCAAAAGATAATATGCATGCAAAAGGAAACAACATTAATTCTGCAGCCGACCGAAAAAGACATTAAAATTGCATGCATCAATTATTTCAAATTCAAACTGTTCCCTTTAAAGGTGTTAAAGGACCACTTCAGATCTTTATATACATTCAATATAAATTTATTAATCATGTAGCTGCATTGCATGTATAAATATTAACATCCTAAAGCTCTCTCTTATTTACCTCTCTCGAGCTCAAAGTCCTTTAACCAAAAGGTGAAGCTAGCTTTATGTGCTGCTACCTCTCTAAGTATGTACGATAACGAATAACATATAATACGATAAAAATTTACGCTTTGTAAGTTAGTTATACACGTTCTTTTCAATGAAGAAATTATAAGAACATCTCCAACAGCCTCTTTAACAGCTTTGGAATTTTGTTCCCTCTTATAAAATAGCTAGCCTTTT